AATGCAAACTACTCTAAATTACTTTCTTTAGGTAACCTTTGAATTTTGTGTTCATTTGTTGATATAGTTTTTGCTGTTTCTGAAATCATGTTTCCTTCATTATTCTAATATTGTGTATAAATACTGTAAATTCTAATACTGCATATAAAACTAAATATTTTCTTATGAAAGCAGCACTCCTAATATATAGAGAGGATATAAAAAGATTTTTCAACAGAATTGACCTCTCAGTGGCAAAGAAAATTGCAGTGGAAGACACATTATTGCGTAGTCATATCAGAGGCTTGGATCTATGGAGAGTCTCACTCCACTGTCCTCTAGCTTTTCCTTATAAACCAAAATGGCTTACAAATGTCATCTACAATAGTCCAATAAAGATTAGGAACAGAACACTGTCCTTACATTGATGAGATAAGAAAGATTTAACTGCAGAATGCAGCATGTAAGAACAGTTCATAAGGCTTGTTCTCAAATCAGAAAAAAAACAGAATTCAAATTATATTTGTGTGTGTGTGGAATTTAATTGAGATGATCAGTTTATTTTCCACATAATGTTTGATCAGATGCCTGCATCATAGAGCTAGATAAAAAGAAAAGAAAGAAAACAAATTCTATCAGGGAAATCAAAAAGACCTGTTATCTACAGGGTGTGCAAAATATGTCAGGAAATAATTCTACCCTGAGTGCTGAGAATGCCCAGTTAATAAAAAAAGATCAGGCACTCGCTAAGAGAAAATAATTGTCGGTATCTATATTTTTCAAAGCAAAAAGGCAGTCACATCTTACACTAAATAGGACACATTAAAATAAGCTTTAATAATCTTTATGCAGAAGGAAACTAATCCATTTTCAGATCATGCGATCCACAGCAATAAAAGGAAATCATCAAACTAAAAACAATTTTAGAAATGGCTGCAGACTCTCATTTAATTAACATGCAACAGATCATATATTTATGAGGAAGTCAAAATATTTAGGAAGCCTATAATCCTGTAAGCCTTAATGTGGTATAAAAACAACAAATAAATGCAAAGTGTTACTGTTACACATGCCTGCCTGATCAATGGTTTTCACATATTGATCTATAAATGGAGTTGACAGTCTGTGTTGGCTGCACATTTTCCAAGCAGTGCTATTTTTGCACAAAACCAATACGGGCAATTACCTTTGTTTGAGATGCCAAGTCTTATCAATTCAATGTGATTTAGTGTCATTTTAATTAAATATCAGGATCCACTTCAGGACAATTTATACAAACAAAGCCTCAAACCTAACTATAAGCTTGATTTGGAGTAAACATGGACAAGCCCTACAATCTCATAATATTTCTCAAAAACTCTGCTAAACAGAAGGTTTATATTTTTAGTAGCAATTTTTATGTCTGCCTTTTTGGCTAGCCACAACTTTGGCAAGTATCCTATAATCACAGAAGTAAGAAACAAAAGAAAATTGTTTCCTCTTTTTCCTGATAATGCATTAAAAAGAAAAAATGAACAAACACAATCTGTTAATGGAAGTAAAAGGAGTCTTGTATGTTAACGTTTAGGAATGTCTTGACCTAAGTCTTTATCTGAACACCAATAAAAAGATATTTTCCTGTTCACGACGGCCATGAATGAAGTAATGCCCTTCTGTGGGTTTGCAAGAGGGAAACTGTGAATATTCATACAGTTGCTGCTTAAGACACCAGCATTAAATGCCTAAATTACTCCTGCCTGCAAATCCTATGTCTGCAGTTTCCTGATTTGGGCTACTTAAACTCTTCATTAATATCTATTCTACACTGTCTAGTAGGCTAGAGCATCCTTCTTATAAATAACATTAAAGCACGTAAACCTTTCACATTAGCTATTTGCAGGATTGCACATTAGCCTTTTTAGCCCTTAAACAGGCGCACTTCACTTGCCCCATTTACTCACAGTCAGCTGTCTGCTTTCTGTTCAACACATTCTGGTAAATAAGCCATTCACCTTTAAGAGGCCTCACTCTGGGGCTCAGGATGGGACAACAAATCACCAAGACCAAAGAGCTTCCTTCCCCACTGAATGCAGCTCTCCAGATCTCTTTTGATAGGCAATTTTCTTACAAACCCTGTACTCCATATTTCCCACCTCTCAACATTCCCCAGGTAGCCAAGTAATCTCTTTGAAATTTGAAAAAACCACTAATTAACCAAATAAAAATAAGTATTTGGTGTTTAAGGAAATGAGGGCTATCACCTATAAAATTTAAGGGAACACTAATACCTGTTTTACTGAAATTCTTTCCAGCAATGTTTCAAGTTATCAAAATTTATAAATTAAAAGTAAATTCACCTGTGTTTTTTATAGCTCAGGCTTGAGTAAATGCTTATTCTGACATATCAAAATACTTATATTTAGAGGCTCTTAATGCCATATATGAATTTTATACTGTGTTCTAAGTATATAATCATGATAAAATATTTTGAATTGAACAAAATAAAAAAAACATGAGTGAATGACAAAGTGATTCAATCAACGTGATATCAGAATATTTAATCTCATTTTTGTAATAACATATCAATATGAATTATGTAAATAAGATTCTTGTGCATTGTAGAGTTGGAAAAGTCTATATAAGACTTATATAACCATTATACTTGGTGAACAAGTTATATATATAAGACATTTATCAAATAGGATGCAAAACATGTGTATGGTCTCTAAGTATGCAATTTTATATGAATTTCTGTTACAACTAAGTGTACTTCACATGAACACGGGCAGGTTAGAAGATATCTCTTCCCATTTCTCCTAAATTCAAAATCTATTCCTTGACCTCATCCCATCACCCAACTTCTGAAAAAATCAAGTTCTTAGTTTAGCTTGAGCAGATAACTTTAACAGGCTTGTTTGAATAAATATGCCAAAATACTTTACATTCTGTCAGTATCTAGTCAGAAAATTGTGCATGGAAAAAGAGATGAAAAGAACTGAGACAGAAAGAAAATTAGTGCCATGGCAAGCTTTCAATACAGTATCTCTGAGCCAAGTTTTCTCAGTGAAATGACATATCCTCACTAAAATACCCCTTTTATATAATTATGCACTGAGCACACATAACCAAAAGTAACTTTTATTTTTGTTCCTTATCGAGGAATACATATTGCCCAGGCTAAGAATGCGGAAACAAAAGCTGGGATAATTATAGCTAATTTAACTTTGGAAAACTCTTATTCTCTAGCAGTCCAGCATACAACCCCCCAAACTAAAGTTATGTAACAAGGTAATATCAACAATGAGAAACTGCATGATAAAATCCTGCCCAAAAGTGAAAAATGCTAATTTTGTCTCATTTAGCAGCTGGATACAGAAATGCTCATTAGTTTTAAGAGGGTTAATCCTTTTAACTTTTGCATATTGATATGCCAATTATGCCTAATTGTACAAGAGGCATCAGTCAAGGTAATAGTGCATAAACACATGAAAGTTATTAAGTACATCCCAACATGTAATAAAGTAGGTGTTAATTGGTAGCTGAGTTCTGCGGGCTATTGAGGTGGATAATTCATTGAGAGATGGATCACTTGTAATTTCTCTCCATAATTCCTTTTGCAGTCTCATGCTGTGATGTTTTCATGCTTGTCAAAAACAACTGCGGCATAGTGCCTTTTGTTAAACACAGCCAATAAAATATGTTAGGCATCATTAAATATACTTAACTTTTAAACTTTTTCAAAGGTACAATTCTTACTGATAATATATAGAGAGAATCCAATAATTTACTCTAACCACTATCTCAAGCTTATACTTGAGGAACATTTTAGATGCTTTAAAAGTGAAGTCAACTAACAACAGTATCATGCCTCCCAGCAGACAATACTTTTAAATGAGAAATTGAGTAAAGAAAAATGCATTTTCCATTAGTTACCTTATCTAAAGATGTATTTCTGATTCCCCCGGTATAATCACTGGCTTCCTCATGCTAAATGTGTCTACAACACCTGAGGAAAGAATGTTTAAATCCATGTATTCCTCAAGCTCCTGAGAGTACTCCGGGTTAATTCTGCACTTGAAATTCAAGTGAAAAATGGGGAATAAATATAATCTGTAGCATGCGAGTCAGCAAGTTTATCTCATTTAATAACTCAGTTAGGGAGCTGAATATTTCATAGGCCCCTACGATATTAGCAGAACACTGAATTAATAGCTCACATGTTTCTGCAGGGTGACTGGGACTTACAGTCTGTCCCCAGCTAACCTATCTCTTGCTCTTGTTCTCACTGTGAGAAACAAAATAGATCTGGGGTCCAAAAGAGTGGCTAACATTGCATAAATAATTTTGTAACATCCTATGGCCTCAGCTGCAAGTTACCACCATTATGGAAGAAAATTAACCAGAGGAGACTCATCGCAATCAGTGGGTTTAGTGGCTCAGGATGTGTGCAGGGCCAGGGACACAATTGGCAGTAGAGTTCATCTCTAACTATTTTATTTCAAATCTTCCTAATGACACATTATCTAGACAGAATGGCTTCCTCTCCAAACCTTAACTAGCCACACCATTCCAATTGTGTAAACCCATTCCAAATCCAATCACAATTTCCACTATCATATATTACTGGGAGATTTTAAGGAAAAGAATTTTCACATGTTTTCAAAGATTTTTTTTTCCTCAGTTCATTCTTAGCTAATTTTAGCCTCTGGCTTTTCAATGTGATGTACTGTATTTGGAAGTACAAACACCACATGCTAGCATAACCTCATTATTTTTATGACACTGAAGCATGATAGTAGAAGCCCTTAAAATGAGTCAAAGGTGCTCTTCAGCCTAGCTCCAAATCCACTTTATCGCTTTGGATTAGACCCAGCTCTTCTCTTGCAACTGGGGATATTATTATGACTATAAGTAGGCAAGATAAAATGCATTACAAAAACAGTTTTCTCATGCACATTAGGAAAACAAATAAAACAAAGCTAATTAGCTTTTAAAATTCTGTACGATAAGGGAACTTGGGGTATTTGGAGCATTTGACTTACAGGTTCAGTGACCTTCCCAACATCGGTGAGGATCATGGATTTACTTTGGCTCAGCCGGTCATGGTGGCTGTTGGCATTTTTTATTCTCATTTGCACAGCTCCTGTGCCTTGGTGGGTGGAATTCAGCATCTCCACAGAGGTATTAGAAGTTGTAGATTTCTGCATATTACAGTGTTATCCTGATAAAATATAAAAGCATTATATTATTCAAAATAGTTACTTTTCCATGAAAACTCTTGGTGGGTGCAAGTACCTATGCATAATTAGGATATTAAAATTAAATAAAGGAGTCTCCACCTCTCTGAGTAGTAAATAGAAGGTAACTGCTTTGTAGTTATTTATTCAATGGGATTTTTATAGGTAGGTAGTACTGTAATGACAGAAGACTTCAGAAGTTTGTAGGCGGCCCACCCATATTCAGAATTCCTAGTTCTATTAAGAAATTTCTAATAGCATTACGATATACTCATCCTTCTATATAGAAACCATGGTGTCCACTAATCACCTTGAGGACATTTTCTCTTCTCATTCATAATTTCACTGGTCTGCTACCCACTTTACACAGAGGCATTACCACAAGCACCATTTTTTTTGTTGTTGTTGAATCAAAACATGTATAAATCAGATCAAATGTAAGAGACTAGAATTGGTGTCAGAGCAAAACAAAGAGATCTCACAGCCCCCACTTCCACTTCCAACATTCACAGGGGAAATTTAAATTCCTTCATCCACTGCCACCTGCCACCTGAAATAGATTTGCTAGCTTAGTGGGGCATAACATGAAGAATATGAAGAGAAAGAAAAATCAACACTGGTGTATATTTACATACGACACTGTTATATTTTTATATGTATATTTAAATATATAATAGTATATGTAATAGAAGGAGTATGATTTAGGCAAAAAAATTCAGTGTGGGCACACTTTAAATGAGCAGCAGTGAGGAAAATATGATTTACAAAAGAAAACAAAGGGAACTCCACTGTGGCAGCACTAGAAGAAGAGCTCTCGCTGCTTCCTCACATTCAGGGTCCTCTCCAACCATCGTCCCTCCCCTAAAGTTCCTCAAGTGGACACATCATCTCACTAAAACACAAAATTTGCAATGAAACCACAGCTGATAATTACTAGAAGTGGACATTCATCTTTCCTGATTGTTGGCTCTAAGTCTTGCCTATATAGACTTTGTGTTCTCACTGAGCACCTGTGTACAGCATTGGGCAAAAAGTGATTAGTCAGTTACAGAGGACAATGGAAACCAAAAGAATGATCATAATTTAAGAAGACAACCATACTGGTAGCCCTATTTTTGTTTAATGAAATATAAGGCAAGAATTGTTGTAATGGTCAAGGTAATTAGACACTAAAATAAATAGAAAGTATTTTAATAGAAGGAAAGTGTTATAATTAATACCATCAGGCAATTGAATGGAAACTTAGAAAATAAGTTAATGTTTATTAGTTACTATGTGCTAAGCAATGTGCCAATGGTTTAATTATCATTAAACATCTATAAAACAGACATTCAACCCATACATTTATAGAGGTGAGAAATGAGGAATGGACAGACTAATAATTTCCCTAGGGACACTTTTAAGAAAGAGATATACATGCATGTATCATAATTTCAAAAAGGCTATCCAGAGAGACAAATTCTAGGCTATCTATAGAGTAAAAACTATAAACAATAAAAATGATTATTGATGCATACAAACCACATGGAGAAATGCAAACTCATTCTGAAGAGTGAATAAAGGCAGTCCAAAGAAGGAAATGGAAAAAAAAGGAAAATATTTATTCTGTACTTACATAGTATTCTAAAATAAATACACCAGCATGTGAGAAGGCTGACCAGTGATTGCTCAGGGATAGGGTACAGGCAAGGATGGATTACCTTAAATCCAAGAAAATGTTCAGGGGTAATAAATATATCCATTATCTTAATTGTAGTGGTTTCCCAGCATATGCATACATTAAAATGAACAATTTGTACACTTTGAATACTTGCACTTTATAGTATTCAGTTACAATTTACAAAACTGTTTACAGGAAAATTGTTTTAGGAATTCCTTAACCAATTTATTTTGCTCTTACTTTCAGTTTTATGTGCTTATATGAGTGATATAAAGTCTACCTAATTGAGTATAAAAGAGATTTTTTAAAAAGTATTAAATAAAAATATGAAGGAACAAGTATAAAATTTTAATTTATTCTAGAAAAGGTTTTTTTTTTTTTTTAATAGAAAATTTCGGGTTCTCTTCTGAGTGCATTCAAGACTTTATCTTCCATATGACCCAATACATTCAAACTCTAAGTGTGGTGTTTTTATAATATTAGAGGTACTCGCTCAGGCTGAAGCCACTATCTTCTGACCAAGAGCATCAAGCCACCATATTTACATACCCGGGGCATGTGCCATTTATAGGACATGTTGCTTCCTCTTCCTCTGAACAAATTTCAGTGTCAAATATTTGCTTTCTTGTATTGATTCTATGATCAGCCCTGTAATTTGCTTGGTGATGTGTTACTGTTAAAAGGCAGGATTACTTACAAAGCCTCTTATTTGGCTTTCCTGACTGTGTTCTTGGGGACAGGCTGCAGAAATATCTTCCTTCTTCAGAACTTTCTGTCAGGCTGATTTCTCTGCCTACCACAGTGTCAATGTTATTTTTCTTATCCTCCTCACTCTTTCCTCTAGCCATGATTTCCTTTTCCATCTGACCTCTTTCTCACATTTAGCTGATATCCCACTGCACTTTCTTCTTTTTATTCACTTTCCACACATAGTACATCGTCTCCACTGGTCTGCAGGGATACATTCAAGAACCCCAGTGGATGCCTGAAACTGTGAATAGTACTGAACCCTATATGTTCTAAGCTTTTTCCTGAATGTACATAACTATGATAAAGGTAATTTATACAGTAGACATACTGAATGATTACAATTATAATATATTATAATAAAAGTTATGCATTTATAGTTTCTCTCAGACTTTGTTGTTGTACTATACTCACCATTTTTTCTTGCGATTATATGGGATGACACAATTGTCCAGGTGATGAGAGGAAGCAAGGTGAATGGCATAGATATTGTGATGTAGCATTTGGTAACTATGAAAGGCTTGCTTGTACACTATAATACTGCAGTGGTTGATGTGATAACAGAGGTGGCTCTAAGAAACTAATGGGAACGTAGCATAAAGAGTAAAGAGACACTGGATCAAAGGAGGAGTCCCATTAGTGGAGAAGACAGAGTGAGCAACATAAAATTTCATCATGCTGTCTGAGCAGCACACAATTGAAAATTGTTTATTTCTGGAATTTTCCATTTAATATTTTCAGACCATGATTGACTGTGCATAACTGAAAGCACAGAAAGCAAAACCAAAGATAAGGGGAGACTACTGTATTTTGTTCTACAATGCCATACACTTGATACTACTTCATAATTGCTCTTATGTTTTTTTTTAAATATTTGCAGGTTTCTAATTTTTTACAGAGCATTATATTGCTCTGCAAAAATTCAGAAAAAAAATGACATAAAATCCCTTCAATCAACAGAAAAAAATTACTCCTTTAATATTTATTGAAATTATCCTAAGTGGCAGGCACCATCAGGTACTACTGTCTTAGCATTTGAAAAATCATCTCTCTTTTTTTTTTTTAACCAAATGCCCTTGAATTTGCTGAGGGCAACAGAGAAACAAATCAAAATTAAATGAGAATAAAATTGTGCCCAGATGAGAAGAGGAGCCATGGCATCCAACTCAGGTGGAACTGGGAAGTAAAGAGAGAGAAAGTCTAAAGTCTACAGGAGAAGATCAGACCATACTGGAGCTAAGTCAGGACAGGTGGGGCATTTTGGGTCGAAGACTTGACAATGCAAAGGAGTGCCATTGCCTGTGGTATTTATTATAAGCTAGCTATGAAAATGTCATAAAGGAAAAATTATGTAAGAGGGAAATTAAGGAAGAATGATCTGATGGAATTCATGGAGCACATGCTTTGGACTCTGTGTGGGTGAGTCTGGTCCTCCTGCTTGCCCCTTCTAGCTAAAGGACTGATTGAAAACACCCTACTTGTGATCCAACTGGTGCTATGAGAAACTGGTACTCTAGACTTCTAAGGGAGATAATATAGGAAGATGGCTCTCCTTGGCATAATGTACACATATCTCATTAAATTTATGGAGAAGCAAAACTCCACTGCAGGATAGAGGGAGATTCAGGAGGACAGAGAGAGGATAAAGGAGGATAGAAATGTGACAATATTAGAAGTAAAGCTATACTAGTGGCTGTGGTACTTGTGACTACTGTACTTGTGGGTTCAGAGACAACTTATTCTCATTCGTTCTACTATGAACCTTTCATACTAAGTAGATAGGGCTATTTCTGTGCCATATTTTGCATGTTGTATTTGAATCCTACATGGAGCCCTTTCTCTACCCTTCTCAGTTTCTTACTGCCTACATCCTAACCCTCTCTTTCCTCTACCAGGCACCTTGTAGTCCCTTTCCATATCTGCTGCCAAAGCCCCACTCATTTGGGCTTCATCTCATCTACACGGATGAAATTTCTCAAATTTCCATCATCCATTCCTTATCTGAATCCTTTAAAAATACCCATCCTATCCATGAATTACATAGACGTAATCATACTGATTTGACAACTTAACTCAATGTTATAAAAGATTAATCAGATGTCTGCTTAACTCTAAAGGAAAAATTTACCTAAATCTCAAACTGGAAACTCTTCTGGGTATATGGAAGAAAGTTCTCAAAGTAGAAGAGTCAATGAGTTCACTCTGTTAATGACCTTAAGTAATGCTAGAGGAGGCAGCATGTGTGACTGGGGAATGAATATTAGCACTGCATTCTAGCAAATGATGCCTCCTGGGATTGGGTGATGTGGTATCCCTGACACAGGGATCTTACATTTGAGATTCATGAAATAAATTCATAGGAAACATACTGCATAGCAGAGCCTGGTCAATATTGACTCAGAAGAAACTCTCACACCCAGAGTCCATTTTGATTTAGCTCCCAACTCCTAGGAATGGCTATGCTTCCAAGAACATCTGTATCAATTTCAGGCTATACACAAAAGGGAAAGAAAAGCCCTAATTCTGTGAGTCTTTAGAGTGTTTTTGTATTAATCAAAAACATTCACAAAA